TTTATTGCAGAGCTGTATGTTTCAGTTTAGGTTCTTAAAAATTGATTCAAATTAACAGTTTAACCATTAGGACCTCTGTCGGCCAAATGCATTTCTCATGATCCCGCTCATACATCATTTATTACCATTTTCCCTTGTTCATTAGTATCTTCATCAATTTTTAGGCCTGGAAGTAGCATTAGATATCACCTTAACAAAGGTTTCTTCCCAGAATATTTGTAGAAACTCGGCCATTTTGTCACCTATCACCTCAGTGTTAAGTTGAAATTTTAAGAAGTTAAGAATTTATAATAATTCTTTCGAAACATATACGATTTTAATCCACCACAAAAACCATATTGCTTTCTGATTTAATCATCAGGTGAGTTTCACTCAATTTCTCAGTGAAGTTATTCAGAAATTTATTAGTGCTCAATTTTTTAGATAAGTGCTAAATTCGGACAAAAATTCAGACCAATTGATGAAACATTAACCATCCCATCGTATTCTCTTTTTTTTACAATTATTGTAACTGGTAATATGAGCCCTTTTAGTTTCTTTATAAATCTTTAAAGTTTGCTCTTATTTAGATTGATTGTCTGATTTAAGTGAGCGCACCCTCCTTTACACAACTCCAGAGAAACATATGGAATTAGAAACATTGCTTTGCTATCAAAGCCGTACGCTCAGTTCCATCTGATTGCCTTGGTATAAAGACGTTTCAAGTGTACAAAGTGGATATAAATAATAAGTGCGAAGAAGAAATAAAAGTATTGAAACTGAGATATCGAATATTTATATTCTACATAACGACGTCATATTGCACATTAAGTACATATAGCATTCAAGATTTCCAAAGCACGGCAAATTTACCAAGGTTGAGTGCTAAGTGTTCAATAATTCCGGAAAAAGCTAAATTTTACAACCATTACTAACATAATTATTGCCTAGAAGAAGAAAGGAGTTGAAGGCGAAAATATCATCGGAAATTATATACAAAAATTGCAAAATTTTGATAAGCTTCGCCAGTGAGCCAACGAAGCAAACAGCCAACAATTAACATCATAATCATCAATCTTCATTATCATCCCATCAAACTTCATTATCATATATTACAATAATCTGGTTTGTTAAAGAATTTAAGGTACCGTTTCAGTAAGTAGTCAAATCAATACACACTTGCAGCTACAAATATATCACGAACTACGAAAGAGCACTGTTAAAATATAGCTCCTCTTCTCCATTCCACTTTGTTTCGGAATACTGTGTAGGTTGTATTGGTTCCGCTACTCACTGAACATTTAACATTACAATTTGATATTAACATAGACTACCCTGTAAATAATTAGGTCACTGTATAACAAGACATAATCATTTGTATTTCTCTGCTTGTCATCACCATCAAGAAAACTGTTAACATAAAGTGAAATTACCAGCGTTATTCATCGCAGTCAACGCATCGGAAGATCTTTCGACGGCAGCGACGAGCAGTGTTTATGTAAGTAAGTGAATATTTTTATTCTGATCTCACATTATCTTAGTAACATTGAAGAGTTACATTGTTAGCAAGTAACAGCTGATGCTGTGTGACATGCAAAGAAATTAACATATAATATCATTAGCGCTTTTAAATACATTTGGGTTTATGCAGATACTGCATTTAATACTTTAAATACAGTGGGGTACTCTTACCTAGTACTCATATTTGAAAAGTTAGGTATTTATTGCCACTTAAAATATAGCGACTATCATAAGGTTATAATGGATGAATTTTACGAATTTTTATATTTTATCTTCATCTAAATTTATTGTTAAGCATGTTTATTTAGGATTAAGATGAATATATTCTTTGAATTTCTATTAAAGCATGGATAATTGTTATTATATATTCTAGAATAAATATACTCAATATGAGTTTGGAGTAAATTCAGTGTTGTCTGTTTGAGGATTTGTTAGTATAAACTGGATTAGCCTTGTGTTTGGGTATTACCACAAATTTGTTGACGGAATGTATAACATGGTAATAATGGAGGGAGGGCTAGTTAGGTATTATACCACCTAAAAACCTAACATTTGAGAGCAGTACTGATTTCAACTTTCCTTCTATCTATATTCTTTCACATAAGCACGCAAATCTTATTATTTGTATTATCGTCAAATGGCACAAGTACAATTAAAGCAACGAACTCCCCCATTCCGTCGAGCAAGAAGGCCGGTGACAATGCGTGCTAAAGCTTTACTAGTGCTTGAGATCACATCTGCCTATAAATTGAGATCATCTATTAAGTGCGATAGTACATTAACAGGAAAAGAATTTTCGATCGTCATAATAAACACAGTAATCAGTTTGGGTTTGAATCCAACATTTTTGAGAGGTCAAGGATATGACGTGATATGACGGATATGACATGTCAGGCAAGTATAATTGAGTGCAGACCACTATTAAATCGAAATTCGCTTCTGCGGTATACATTTATTATTATTTTAAAATTTTAAAATTAAGTAAATTATTTAAATTTAAAGTAAAGCAAATTTTTTAAAATTATGGACATTTGCTTATTCTTTAGAAAATTTAAATAAATCTTTCAAATTATTGCATTCACATGGCGAAACACGATAGATTGAGCAACATGATTGCGTACAAATATAGAAGAGATAGTGGAATGGTTGGAAAAAATAAGGGAAAATGGTAAGATTTAATTTGGATTTATTTCTAAAAAGTAGAAGTTTCAGGTCAAATGTAATGTACCATGTTTCAAAAATGAACCAAATTTCTCAAAAATTAAAAAAATAGTTAAAACATTATCGAGAATTATAAAATTTTATAGATATAATGCAATATTATGAAAAATATCTGGGATTAGATCTGTGGATCACAATGTGGAAAGCTAAACATTCCACCCATTTGATTCGATCGTAGTATATGACGAAAATTTTAATACAATACCAGTAACCTACGCATCAAATGATGTGTATTCAAATAACATTAATTAATTAAATACAATAAATCGGACAAATATATATATGGGAGCTATATCTAAATCTGAACCGATTTTCACGAAACTAAGCACACATCATTCTAGACACAATTCGGTACGCTCTGCTAAGAACTTTTGAAAAATGTTTTAAGTCATTGTAAGCAAATACATATTTAGAGCCACACAAAATGACTTATCGGTTTATAACCCTCGAAAGGTTTTTAAATGTAAATTTTTTTCTAGGAAACATTATTTCAATGTGTATTTTCCCGGGATCTTTGCATAACTAGCCATTAATAGATGAAATAACATTCATTCGTAATACAGTATTTTTCGGTTAATTGACCCTACGGTTAATTGGTTTCCACGCTTAATTGAACCACATAATGGGGCAAAAAATATTTCTTAGGAAAATACATGTAAATTTTCTCGGATAATTAAACCCTGTTAATTGATTTTCCCGCTTAATTGGTTCAAAATTAATGTCATAAAAAATAAATTTTCTTTTACTTTTCACCGGTTAATTGCTTAATAATAATTGAAAAATAATCTGCAATTTTTTGCATGCATATTTGACATTATTTGTGAAAAAGACTATACCTCTACTAATTCAAAACATATGTTTATTGCTAAGGAAAAACTGCGAGAAAGCGTAATTTTTATTTGACATTGAACTTCAAATTATACGTGATTACTGTAATTGAACAAACTATTCAATTAAGCGGGTTCGGATAATCGGTTCCTCGGTTAATTGAACTAAAATTTGTGCAAAATTTGATGTGCAATTAACCGAAAAATACTGTATATACAATTGTTTTTGAGAAAAAAGTCATAACCCGTATGACTTCGTTCCCTTCCATACTAGGTTTATTTATTTCTGTTACGCCTAAAAATAAACCCGGATATATAGATTAGTCATTGCATACTCAACGAGTCACATTACAACTACCATCGTCTGTAGTTCAGTTGTAATTATGCAAATTTCATTTTTTAGCAGATGATTTCAAACAATTTGCCTGAAATAACAAACGCTGCTAGTTAATCATCAGTAATACGAAATCATTTTCACATAATTAACAAGTCAATTGGATCAAATCAGATTTGTATGAATTGTCAATTCCGTGTCAAACCGAAACGAAAGAACACAACAATAGAAGCAATAGAATCAAACAAAAAATATTATTTTTTTACAAGTAAAAAATGAAAAACAATTACAAATTGTGTTTATTTGTTTATAATTACATTTTTGTTGTTGTTGGTGTTATTATACAATTAAATTTGACTACATATTATTATGTTTTGTTGTTGTTGTGTTGGTTGGTGTTGTATGTTGTTTATGTGTTTGTTGTGTTTAGTTTGTATGAGAATGTTGTTGTTAGAGTTGAAAAACTCAACGAATTTATTCACCAGTCATCATTTCCATGAATTCTAAAAAGAAAAGAAAAAAGAATAAGATTTCAGATTAAATATTTTGGAAATATAGTGTGTATGTGTATGTAGGTATTTATGTTTGTGTGTGCGTTAGATGGATTTTAAAAACTATTTTTAGTTTTTATTTAGTTTGTTCTTATGCTATGTTGTGTGGCCCTCAGACTTTATGGCACTGCGTGGGTGTTTAATTATTGTTATTTCTTCATCGCCTTGGCAGGGGATAAACAATTTCTGTTGATTTAGTTTTTGTTTAATGCGTGTGAGTGCTTATGTCGAACCAACTATAAAAATAAACCAAAATCTCAATAGTCTATATAGCCCTCTTAAAAATTTATAGTGTTTTCCACTTGTTCTAGTTTTATTTTTATTTTTTTTTTAATTATTTGTTTTTGGAATAAGAAAATCGTTGGTATTTTGTTCCATTTGTTATGGATATGGACAATTTGTCATTTTGGCAAGTTGCTTTGATTTTAAATTTTTATTTTTTTTTTCTAGCTTGCTTGACTTTGTGAAAATGTCATTTAAAAAGTGATATGATGCCAAATATTTTTTGTTTTTGATATTTTTTCAACCGTGGCATTGTCAAATGTTTAGATGGTGGAACATGGACCAATATTGAAACATTTTTGTAGGATAAAGTATTTTACAAATGCGAAATCAAAGATACTAAATTGATTTCAAAATACAACACTTTACAAATACTTTAGATCGAGATCTGAGGCTTTTAAATACAATCCAATGGCAGAAGGGGAATTCGTATACAACCCATGGACAAACAAGACAAACAAGTGAGAGAGTTTGAATGACCAACTACTCTATAAAAAAACATAAATAACAATTTCCCTTCGGTGCCCGTATTAGGATCGGTTTGTTTTAGATCTTAAGTGAAGTTACTCAAAATTACGAGAGATGCCATGGCTAACTAGTTTCCTTATAGCTGACACTATATCTGAGCTCCAATCAGCATATCTGTTGTGGGACCAATTGTGGTCTAGAATTACTTTTGCAAATGTTGGAAAGGGTCCTTGCCTTATTATTTTTTTTTTAATTAAGGGAAACAAAAACAAAAAAAATGTATGTTTCCATGTTCTTTAGTAATTAGCAAACTGATTATGTTTGCTTAGCTTTTGTTTGGTCTATGTGCGCAGTTTTGCAAAATAAAAAAATAAACAAATGTTGGGCGCCATTTTTTGCAACCCATTGTTTCACCCACTTAACATTGCTATTTTTTGGAAGGCATAAACATTTGACAAATATCCATCAACTGACAATTTTTGCTGTCATTGACATCAAACCAAAAATATTTTGCTGCGTTTTAGCAAAATTCTGTTCTCGATCACACGCAGACACCCCCTGTCAATTTTAGACATTCTACTCTGTCACAAATCTAATTAGCTGTGTCATTGTTATTGTTTTTGTTTCGTTTCACATTTTTTTGCTACTCACCATCGAAATCAACGGTACCGGAACCATCAGAATCGATTTCTTCAATCATAATGTCCAATTCTTCATCGGTCAATTGATCGTCCAATTCACGCAAGATTTCACGCAAACAGGTGGTGGGAATATAACCGTTGCCTTGCTTGTCGTACAAACGGAAAGCTTCACGCAATTCCTTTTGCATAGCTTCAGCATCTTCTTCAACAATGAATTTGGCAGCCAATTGTACGAATTCTTCGAATTCCAAACGGCCAGACTTATCTTCATCGACTTCTTCGATGAGTTCTTCCAAGATCTTCTTGTCGAAGGGTTGACCCATCAAACGCAAGATATCGGCAACCATATCGGTGGAGATACTGCCGCACTTTTGGCTGTCGAAACTGTTGAAAGCCTTTTGCAAAACGGCGATTTGCTCGGGGGTAAGATCTTCATCCTGTTTGGGAAAACAAAATAGAAATTTAAAAACATTTTAATAAATACTGGTAGTAAAACATGGAAAAACGTATGATTATTAATCTATTTTTTATAAAGATAATATATTGAAAATTATAATATAGGCAGTTTCTATCAATGTTATGGAATTTTTTTTTATTATCATAGGGTATGTCGAACGTAGTATGACTCCCTCAATAGAAAATTTGTAGACACTAAAAATTGTGATTGCCAAGGCTTTATTGCAATTCTGGTTTCACAAAATTTTATTGTGGATTTCGAAATTCTCTCAATTTTATTTGTTTATAGCTATAGGACATATACAAATTAGATATTCCATTAGTTTGGATGCTGGAAGGAAACCTGAATTTTAATTTTTTAGTTGTGATTTTCTCATTGGGGGAAACAATTTTCTGTCCATTATAAAATTAATTTGTATATTTATTTTTTAAGCAATTACTTTATTTAATAATATTTTCAAAGTCTGAATTAAATAGCTTTACATTTTTTGAATTTTTTTTTTTTTTTTTTTTGTATTTATTTTTTTTTAATTTCTTTTCTTTAATTGGTAATAACTTTTCTTTAATCTTTATTCTTTGTTATTCCAATTAAATATTCCCACTAAATCCGTAAATTTTTCAAACAATTGTCTTTGTCTTATATTTCTCATATTGCACTTTTTTCCATAAAGAAAAACTTCACTCAAATATTATTTTCCAATATCCTTCACACTTACAATGAATTGATCATCCATGTTGGCGGGTTTTTGTTTTATAAATTTGAGTTAACTTCAAAAAAGAATTGATCACCGATGTGCCTCTTTGGCGTTTGTTGTTCAACTAATTTTTTGATTTCACCCACCGCTAAGAGGATGAATTTTTCTTAAGATCGGAAAATGTTCCAGCCTCCCCCCATTTAACATAAACATATTAATCGTTTTCGAACATACACAACACGCACACTCACGTATAGATGAAAACACTCACACATTTGTGGAAAAAGAAGAAAAGTCGTATCGTGTACCGAATTCGACATTCCAAAAACAAAAGATATTCAATATACAAATACATTTCGTCAGAATTTCGTCGGAAACAACAATAACAAGAAATAGAAGAAATGCGTTTTATTGTTTTTCCTTAAAATGTTTTTGGTTTTTCGTTTAGGCATGGGCGTATCAGTGGACTTTGAATTTAATGCCGCCACGGTTTTCCAATTTTAATAACAATCCGAGTAATTAATGCTACTCTACAATGAATTTTTAAAGAAAACCAGTAAGAAAAGTAGTAAAGTAGGACGTGACCGACCACTACTTTGGGTATATTCAACGGATGCATCTGTTGAGACGTCGCATTTTTTAAGGGCCATGAAAATGAAATTAGATGAGCTAACATATGTGATAATTTGGGTCTTTGGTGCAGGGTTTAGTTAAAATCGGACGAAACTATATATGGAAGCTATATCTAAATCTAAACCGATTTCAGCAAAACTTCACAAATGTTGGGCTATACTAACTTCAGAAAGTTGCACAAACGTTCGCATCATTCGGCCTAACTTTGGGTATTTGGTGCACTATTTACCTAAAATTGGACAATAATATATACGGGAGCTATATGTAAATCTGAACCGAATTTCACTAATTTCAATAAGGTTCGTGCTTCGGTCAAATAAGTGAGCTGTGCCAAAATTGGTTTACTATTTAACATGGACTCAGAGAGTGATTCTATGATTCTATCCTTTTGTCTATTAAAAACATATGCACAAAGACATAATACCCTGTACCACAGTGTGTCCAGAACCTGCAAGAATGTATAAATATGATTACTATAACAATTGTTCCATCGAAAATAATAGTAAAAAGTTGTAGATTCATGCAGTTCCGAAAAAATCAAATATTGATATTTCTAGTTTCCAAATATATTTATATGTTAGCATTTAGGAACGAGGTGAACAAGGATGAATTGCCTTTGATCTGATTCCGAACCAATAATAAACATTGGCAGTACTAGATATTATTTCTGGAAGATTACCTTAATTCGTTTAACGGCATATTATTTTGGATAAGATAATAGTGAGATAAAGATGAGGAACCAAAAACATCGAGAGACATTCAAAGCCTATACCCTGTGTATGCAGAACCAATTTTGGCCGTTCTTAGTGTAAACAAGTGAAGGATGCATTGACGTATGTATACCACCGGTTATTTTAAATGAAAGTTTCATTGGGAAGTCGGCCGGAATCATTATATTTGGGATATTACACATTCGTGACCCTATGAAAACAATGTTTCTATTGATATCTTACTGATGACCAGAATTACTAAATTGCAATCACTTTTAATATAAACTTTTCCTAAAATTTCCACCATAGGGGATTGACATTTATTGACATTGATTGATGTAGTAAATATTGGGTGGGGTAAAAGCGAATTTTATTGTAAAGCCTGTTAAAAATCCCCAAAATATTTAAACAATATTAATCATTTTTGGCAGAATTCCCAATAAGAAATTTTTCGTTGAAAAATTTGACTCAAATCGCCAAAATATTGAAAATGGGTTGGTACATTTATATATGGATCTATGCTTAAACGTAGACCGATATAACACATTATCGAGCAACATGTCAGTGCTCTATCTCCATTCCTTCGAAATATAGCGTGAATCCAAAAAAAAAAAAAAAACGGACGGACGGACGAGGAGGATAAAATGAGGTTATATGACGGGTAGGGAGATTAGATACCAAATAGCAGTCCAACATAATAAATTACAGACAAATCGATCGGATGTGTCCAAAATCCTCAAGAGGACATGTTCGGTATCAAATGAAAATCCAAAATACCAATACAATTATATTTTTGTTTTGTTTGAAAAACGTACCCAAACTTTCATAATACCGAGATTTCGGAGGTAAATTGTGGTATCAATACCACAATTTTTAACAGAACACCTAGAAGCCCAAAGTACAAAATTACAACTCATTCAGTTGAAAACCGGACTCAAAAACACCTGCCTGCCGACTAAAGACAACTCAATGCGACATGTCTAGATCGCCTTACAATTTTATCCTTATCAAGAATATGTATTCTGTATGCGGTCGAAAACGATTATTGCGATGAGTTGCACACGGAACGACAATTAATTTTCTCATTCCGTGATCCTTGCAGTAGTATGAATAAAGCTAGACAATTGACAAAAGTAAAAAAAAATAATAATTTGGACGGATTCTACATTCTCAACAAAGCAATTTTTAGAAAGATCAATAACTAAAGTCCAACTAGAGTTGAAAGTGAATAATTTGATGTAAGTGCATAACTGGCGAAAACGGTGAAATATCGCTCTTCTATCCAAAAATAATTTTGTTTGTTTCATTGTACACAACTTTTCATTAAAATTTGTGATTATTGAAAGTCCCCACCTTTCTTTATCAATTTCATCCGTCTCTGTTCATTATTTTTGTTGTTTTATTTTAAATACTTAACGAAAAATCAGAAAATGACTGTAAAATCATTGTTGAACCGAAACAATAAGAACTCTATAGTAGCATCATCATTTTCCTTCCCTTCGTCTGATGGGAACTGGAATATGAAAGTCTTGCAGAGGTCTTTGAACAAAACAGAAGAAGAAACAACAAAATTTTTGTAGTGGATTGCTAAACGCTTTCAATTGTGTGAAACGATTGGTATTCCCTCCCGGCTGTCTGTGTATCGGCCTATTTGTGATCTTTTTATAAATATACACAATCACACGCACGTTTGCTATTCATATAAACAATCAATGTATTTTCATATAGTTTCGAAAAGTTAACAATGCCATGTAGGACCGCCGCAACTTTCCAAAAGTGACGGGGGGTGGGTAATGTTTGAAAAAAGAGGGAGAAAAAAAGAAAACGAAAACAAAACACTTGCTAATTACATAAATTGTAATACGAGTAATTAGCCCAGAACAACACCGAAAGAAATTCTGACGTTTATTGAAATTAGTGTGGTAGAGTTATAACCAACAGTTAGAAGAGGCACAACACAGATGACACAATGTAACCATTGAATTGAATCTCTTGTATCCCAATTGGAATCCAACAAGGTGTTATAACCCCTGGAATCCTCATGAATTTGGCAGACATACACATTTTTCATATGGTAAAGGTTTTAGCTGCATTTTCCTCCGAAGTGGCTGTGGCATCATTGCAGAAAATTTTTCTTATAGACAATTTTTATATATAGATTTGTCGTAAAGAGTCGATCAAACAATTTCAGATTAATGCTCGTTGTACGTCGTACAGGAAGGATGAGATTTCGCAGTAAAAAAAATATTTTGCTGTTTTTTTGTTTGGTGCATTCAGTTGTGAGTTACAGGGTGTTAAAAATGGAAGTGAACAAGGAGAAAATTCGGTACATTAAAAAAAAAATTTTGACAAAGGCTACCACGAAAATAAAACTTTCTGCAGTTCTATATTCTGAGTCTTGGCAATATTTCGCGATATTGGCTCCCTCTTGACCTACCATAGGTCAACAAATATTACTAATATTCAGTACAGCTCTTCTAATTACTGGTCCAGATTCCCTTCACCGTGAGAATTGTTATGTTCGGCTTTCAACTGTGGCCTATAGATCGAATCGAAAAAAATTAAAAAATTAAGTTTTCGGTCCAAATCATCCCAATATTATTATCTGATTATCACCAAAAATTATAGGCGTTGTCCTTGACCATACTTGGATCCTCATGGAATATTTCGCTATATTTCCGCCCTCTAGTTTGGTAATGGGTCTCTAAATATTATCTGAATACTTAAGCACCTGTAAATATTTAAGTGTAACTCCTTCATCCGAGTACATACGACAATATAAATGGTATCAATTCAAAGGTCAACAACTCCTCGTTGATATACAATCAACTTCTCGGGTCTATGTCCTTCAGGGGTAAATCTATACGCTATAGAATACAAATTTTGTCATTTTTCCCACAAAAGTCAGGGTCCATTTGACCCGCTAAATATTGACCGATCTTTATCAAAACAGGCCCAATCCCCTTCTCCGCGTAAAAATTCGCGATGTTTGGGCCATAATTGCGGCCTCTGGAGCAACCACAAAAACCGACAAAAATTTAGTATGTGGTCCATTTCATCCTCTAAATATTAACCGATCTTCACAAAAACAATAGGGGTCTTCATTGGCCGGAACCCATCCTACATGCAAAATTTCGTGAACATTGGTTCATAATTGTGGCCTGTATCGTGTTTACAAATTATAATGGGCAGACGGACGGACGGACACACATGTCTAGATCGACTCAGCTAATCGAGATATGACGATCGGTATACTTAAAGGTGGGTCTAGGACCAATATTTCCCGCCGTTACAAACTCTTGGGGCTGCACAGAGCTATAATACCCTGACAACATAGTTGTGTAGGGTATAATTATAAATATTAGTCCAAGCTTCAAGGTAGCCCCCATATAACGGTAACCCCTCCCCCATTAAAACGGTATTTTGGGGATTTCATACAGGTATTCCAACCGAATATATATATCGGTACCAAAAAATATTAATATTTACGCTACTATCACGGTAGCCCACATATAACGGTACCCACAATATTCAGGATTTTAGACAGGTTTCAAAACTCCGTACCAAAAATTATTAATATGGACAAAAGTTGCAGGGTAGCCACCATGTAACAGTATCCCCACTATTATTTTGTTGTTATATTAATATTGACCCACATAATATGGTAACCCCCAATGTTGGGATTTTTTACACATTTTCAATCAAATTGGCTGTAATTTGGTATTTAGGTTCTCATAACGGTATTATTAATATTGATCCAAGTCGGTATTTTGAGTATTTTGGACACATTTTTCAACCGAATTGGCTGT